GTTTGGAACCCTTCAGCGGAAGGCACCAACCGGTGTTTTAACCTATTAACGACTGGCCTTATTTGGGCAGTTACCTGGGGTTCTAGTGGGAAGCCGTTACCAGTAGAGTGCAGCATGTTGAGGATGAGACAGTAATTCATCAAAGAAGATTGCGAAGTGGTCGCGCTATGTCATTAATTGACAGAATTTAGAATTCATGGTCTGGCCACTGAATCTCGTCTACGAGCTAGATGGCCTCGTAACCAGGAGTTCTTGGGTTCGAACCCATAATGTGGGTGCGTACTGCTGAAGAGCCCCAAACTAGGTCGACGAAACAGCTGTCCAGTACTCCCTTGTTGGTTTTCCAATGGTTCTCTAACTAATGTCAGCTCATGATAAGACTCTTCTACTGATGGCATTCTTGTCGAGGAAGTTCATTAAACTAATAACTACATTTCTCCTCAAACGTATGCATACCTCCTAAAGACCAGTCCGCATCAGCATTTATTTCTCCTCACTGGTGATGACGCTCACAATATACCATACCTGAGAACAATGATTTCAGTGTTGTACTTTAATTCTGTATACAGTCAAAAATATTCAGGTGTTATAACACTTTCATTTACCAGACACTTAGTTCAGAACTAGTGATAAACACATGATTCATATTTATGAAGGGTGGCAAAAACATCATGCCTGAGTATTTTTGCTTTGTTTGCTAAGTCATTTCAGCAAAAGCAAATCACAGATGACATATCAAAAATTGTCACTCCACATTTGGATGCAATTAGCTAACATATATATAGATATGTATTCGTGTTAGATTCTGTGAATTATCTCAATTATTGTTTTTAGACTTCTGTTGACAAGTAATAGTTGCTCATTACTTAATAAACAAGTGAGTGGAATCAATATTTATTGATTTTATCTCGTGATAAGTTTATTTTTCCAACTCACTTTATTCAGACAATCTGATGCTGTGATATTAGAGTGAGGATAAAAGTAATCGCAGGATGTTTTCACGTAGAGTATCACAAATGCCACTACAGGAATTAGAACTGTGTCAAAATATCGTTAAAATACTTTCAAAGAGGCCAAACGCAACATCTGATATGATTACAACAATCCTCTGAGCATACAACCAAATGCCACATAGGACGAGCTAACTGAGGAAATTCAAATCGTAACCGGCTAACTCTATACTGCCTAGTCGAACAGGAGGAAATGAAAGAGAGTTGAAATACATTTTGACGATCTCTTATATACTCACTCATGATATTATCACACATATTTTTAGATATAAGAAGTAGTTAGACGAATTAATAACAAGATATTTTGTGATCCAGTTAGTTGTATTTACTAGTATCAGTATTAATTACAATGTAAAATGATACTGAAGTACCTTTCGAAATATGAGTAAATATATGACAACCCTGCTCGGATGAATACCTTGATGAAGAACTTTATTAATATTAAACGGTTGCTGAGTGAAAATGATTATCCAGAAAAGTTTATTGATAAGAATATGAATCTAAAATCAAAGCAGCCCAAGGTACAAACAGTTTCTTAAATGGCCTTATTCTTACAAATGCAGTTCCTCGGGGATAACATCACCGAGATACTAATACAACGCTTTAGGAATGCGGTAAAAAGATCATTCCTTGCTGCTGAATCACGTTGTGCCTTCAAAACCACTCCCCTTTTGAGTTCTGGAGTAAAAGACAAACTGCCTAATTTCTCCTCCTATATGTGTATCTACCGATTTAACTGCTTCTGTGGAACCAGTTACACAGTCAATACAATCGGGTGTGTTTTTTGTCGAATTTCCGAACGTCAACCTGCGTGGGTAAGTAAAGGACAAACAAAATCCATTCGTAGCGCTATTCTATTTCATCTTGTGGATACAGAACATAAGATTGATGTCAACGAGGCGGCTTTCAAAGTCATCTGCCGCATACCAACAAGTCTCAGTTTCGCTTCAAGAGTTCGTTTATTGAATATTGCTGAGGCCATTGGGATCAACATTAAGAAGCCTACTTTATGTGTCCAAAAGAAGCTACTTCAGACACTGTCCTTACCTTGGCCATCTAGGTTGGAATGAACCTCAACCTTTTGTAGAAATTTCCTTAATTTTAGTCGACATTCTATTTGCTATTCTATTATTATTATTTATGCATCTTTAATGAGCTGTAATTCCACTGATCTTACTTTACGAATCGATATTATTTAAAAAACACTAATATTGTTATTGACTTCTATTCTAGAGTATTCCACGTATATAAACATGTATATAATTTTAGAGCAAGAAGAGGAAATTATAGAAGGAAATATTTTTCGCTCAATGATTTTGTTTTTTACAAACTTGAAATGTTGAATGTTAAGATGATATGGCGCGAAGTATAGTATTTAATGACACTCATCAGTACGGTGAATCTGCTACCACAGGTAAACTCATATCCTTGTCATACAAACTCAGAACAGCTAGCTGGTCACCCGAGAACATCCTATCTTGAAACTCGAAATACAGTGGACGACATTTCTATTGCAATTACTAAAAATTAAGCACTTGATCAAGAGGATTTAGCTAAGGATTTCATCATGAAATGAAATCGGTTAGAGAACCATTGGGAAAACCTGCAGGAAGTACTGGACAGCTGTTTCGTCAGCCTAGTTTGGGACTCTTCATAAGTACATAACCACCGCCTGGTTTCGGATTCAGTACCTTCTGATTATAAGCCGAGCAAACTCGTAGACCATCAAACCACTGGAACCCGGTCCAATGGACAGTCCATGAATTCCGAATTCTACCAATTCACTATATAGCCCGATCACTAGCGAATGTCATCGGTGGCGAGTATTTGTCCTCACATCTGACCTACTGCACTCTGCTGGTCACAACTTCCCACTGGAACCCCAGGTGACTACCTACCTGAATAGGGCCAGTTGCTAGTGAGCATCTCATTGATATTCAAGTATTGGTTTGTAGGGATTTGATTGATTGGTTACAGGATTTCATCGTTAGCTGACATCGGTAACCGGAAGGTCCTGAGTTAGAGCCCTTTCGGTGAATGCATCCCAAACTAGGCTGAAGAAACAGCTGTTCAGTACTCCTAGGTTTTCCAATTGTTCTGTAACCGATGTCAGATCATGATGAAATCATATAACCAGTCAGTCAAATTCCTACAAACCAGTACTAGAATTTAGCTAAATTGAAACAACTTGAGTTGATTATAAACATGTAAGTGATGGATATAGATAAGATGAAGGTGATAAAGATAACTAATGAATCACAACAACGCCCAGCACCAATCACCGTCAACGGGAGAGATTTAACAGAAAGAATCAGTAAAAAGAAACTGTGGGAACAATTTTTTTTTTTTTTGATTTACAGCTTGATTCCACACTGTATTTTCGGTACAAGTATGGAATTTTCAGCATGGATATCGGTAGGCCAAAGTTTGCAGGCCGACCATAGATATCAGGTGTGCGTCGGTGCGGGCTCGAACCCCGGACCATGTGCATGGTCGGCGAGAGTCCTAACCACTGTGCCACCGACGCACACATTCAATAGCTGATCACTCAGCAAATATGTAAAAGAAAATGGAGATGAGTCGAGTATACATCAAGGAAGCCATCAAATAACACCGCGGACAATGCAGGCCATCGCTTGAGTGCAGCCCAAAAAAAAGTGACGAGTGGGCCGTCATTGTAAGGGTGACATGGAGGAGATTGTGTGATGAAGAGATGAGAGATTATGGGCAATCGTGGACCCACCTGAAGAGGATAGTAGAGAATAGAGGAAAGTGGAGATGTGTTGTTGAAGCCCAATGTTCCACTCAGAACCCAAGGGAATAAAAATAATAAGTGATGAATTAAAACGACAACCCCGCTTGTCAAGTTTATTACTCAGTAGTATGGCTTATTTCGACAAATTCTCCTTCGTTTGTACATTCGATTGCAGGTCGTTGATTTAGACAAAAACAACAACAACAACAAAGCTCGTCTTTGACCAACATTTCTTCAAAACAATAACTATTTCCAAGGCTTCAATGACTGTTTTAGCACTTTGTTTTACAAGCTTTTGAAAATTAAACAAAAAACACACAATCAGCTGACGGCTAGATTCAAGTCACACATTTAAACAAATTAAAAAAACAAACAAGCAAAGATTTTATAGATATGTACATGTCACATCCAAATAAATATTTACAAGTTAATGAATGGGCTAATAATACTACTGCTACTATAAAAATATATTTCATTATTGATACATTTAGCAATAACAATTCAATAAACAAATAATTCATTTGAAAATGACATAAAGACATGTAAAAAGGATTTTTCTATGTTCACTTTTGTTTTAATTATTACATATAAATTTGACTAGAGAATCAAAATTTCCTAATCGGATTATAAAGATTAACTTAAAGTATAGGCTAAGAAATGAATATATACACAAACACACCAACATATATGTATATATGTATGTATATACACCGATGAACGCTACACATTCACTACTGTACTGAAGTACAGCCGGAATCGACACCACAATATGTACTTTTAAGTAAAAGAAGAAAACAATTTAATTCGCGAAAAATACCCATTAAGACATTGAAATAAGAACAGATTAGTTCAGCGAAGAGTCTCTTTTCGGCGAATTCATTCTCTTAGCTGTACAGTCGCAATTATATACAATTAATTTTGTGTGTGTGTACATAAGGTTTGTCAAAATCAAAATAACAGTTAGTGTGGGTTGTTGATTACATCATCAAAATAATAAAGAAATTAAATTGCGTGAATAGCAATCAAAGTTGTAACTAAGTGGGTTGGGGATTGGTAAGATGTGAGTAGGGTTACGTAATATAGACATGTTTAGAAAGATTAGATGTTCGTGAAGGAGTATGGAGACAATTATGAAAATAAACTAGATAATAGGTGAAAAGATTGAATGGGTTAGTTACTCAAAAAAAATTATTATACGAATATTGCAAAAAAATTTGATAACTACTACTCCGCGTTCCCGAGCCTATTTCAAAGTTTTATTCATGTCTACTGATTTAGTTGAAGGGAATGTATGTAGTCATGAAAACTGTGTTGTTCTATCTCAGTTAGACAGCTTGGAATTTGGTGTTTTCAAACTAGACGCTTCTGAATCACATGAACGTCGCGAACTGCTTGAAAAGGCAGTGGACTACTTTGATAGTATAATCTCTCAGACTGTCTTAGAAGTTGAGGAAGAACGTGCTATAGAAGAAAGTGAAGCTCTTACTAAAGTCGAGACAGGTATCTTAGAGGAGAATTCAAACACAGTACGATACAGGATATACGAGAAATACGCACCGCGCCTTGAGAAACTTATTGAACCACAAATTTACCTATATCTTGGACATTCCCAGCTTTTGCTTAATCGCTTTGATGACGCACTATCTGCTTATCTCAAGTTTGAATCTCTTTGTCCGAAACAATCTTCAGTCAATTGTGCTTTCCTCTACGGACTAGGTCTGTGTTGTTTTCGCTTCAACGCTTTCAACAGGACAATAAGGCTATTCCAACAAATTTTATATCTTCAACCTTGGTTCTCAAAGTGCAAAGAAATACATATTCGTCTTGGTTACATTTACAAAGTACAAAATAATTTTGAACGAAGTTTACGACATTTTCGACAAGCGCTCAACGACTCTACACGCGGTACATTTAATCGAGTTGAATTACGTTTTCACACTGCACATTTGTTCGAAGTGTGTGGTAAACCCGAACAAGCGAAAACTGAGTACTTCCAATTGTTAGATACTGAGAAAAGTGACGCTCCGTCGCATATCCGACATCTTTGTCTACGACAGTTAGCTTGGCTTCATCATACAGGTGCTCTTGGACCGAAACCTGAATCACCTAATGAAAAAGGCCTGGATGTACAGTGGTTACAAAGTGCTCTGGAATTAGTCAATACAAATGGTAAGACCTGGTATCTACTAGGTCGTTGCCAGGCTGCTTTAAATCATGTTCAAGAAGCTTTTGCCGCGTATAGAAGTTCTATAGACAAAACGGAGGCTAGTGCAGTTACCTGGTGTTATATTTGATATCAGTAGTAGTATCTGATACATTTTGTCTGAATACAAATAAACATCTTTGCTATTTGTTTATATCATGTAAACATTTTGTTTTATCGGAAGTTTGTTTCCAATTCGCAATGACAAAATAATGATAAATAATGATAAACAAGTCATTTTTAAATCATGGAAAATACTCATCGGGAACATTAGAGGGAAAAGAACAAAAAGTTCAGCAGAGATGTTGATCTTTTCAGGGATTTCATTCTCAAAAGCAGCTGTACAATCGCATTTATATAGATTAGTTAACATGGATACAATTATTATTTATTTAATTCCACATAGTAACGAATGAAAGTTTGAAGGTACAAATATAGATTACAAGGGGCTTAGAGACAAGATTGCAGAGGATTAGAAAACAGTTACAATGTATGCAAAATTAATATTTGATAACTGGAGAAACAGTTTTAAAGGCGAATAAAAGGTGATGACTATTTCCAACTTGATATGAATTACAAGAGGCTTGGAGAAAAATGTTACGCAGGGATAGAACGAAGTACAGGTGTGAATAAATGAGTATGGAAACAAACTGAAATCAAAATTTTCAACTTGAAATGTAAGTTAGGAGGTGTGAATATAGATCAGAAGAGGCATAGAAACAAAAAATTACACAGCGTTAGAATATAATTGTAAAATGGCTATTCTAAACGGATTACAAGTGTGATCAGGATGAGCATGGAAACCAACTTAAAATAACGGATTTTGTAACTGAAAAAAAGTGGGATGAAGGGAATGAAGAGAAGGAGAGAAAATTACATACACAGAGAACAAAACAAGAGAAAACTGAAGGATAAGAGGACATACTGAACTAGTTCCATGGTAGTTGTAAAGGCTGGACTAGTTTCTTTTGAACACACAGTTCCGACTTCGCAATGCATATGGCTAGAGCTTCCGCAGTACAAAGAAGTCAGAAACACACTGCCTTTGGTGGTGGATTTTTTCTACTTTGTAAATTTCTCTGAATGATGAGTCATTTGAGATTCTGTGACAGGTATTGACGAGGTGTTCAGTTATGGCGCTTCTGATTGAATCAGTGCCTCTTCTTTGCAGCCATGCTTTTTAATCAGACTTTGGATTTTGTAGAGATTTTGCTTAATTTTGGGTGGAGATTTCATTTTCTCTTTAGACTCTTCAGTAGTAGGTACTCATGACTCTATATAGGTGTACTAAAGTTGTAATAGGAAGTTATGCTATGTGTAACCCACCATGTAAGAGTGAAGCGGTACACATCGATGGCACTGGTTGATGGTAACGCTATACCGCGAGTTGTCCAAATTGATAATTCATTGATAGTTGAATTCAAACCCGTTGGTCAAATGTTCAACAGGCCGGTATCGTAAACTGAAGGTCATAGACTTGATCTCTGGCGGAGTCACTTCTTCACACTGATAAGCAGTCTGAAACACCTGTCCCGTGCTCCCTAGTTTCCAGTGATTCTCTTACAGATATTGGTTTGTTGGGAAGATCTACACTTAAATCTAATTTTAAAAATTCAAAGTGATTTTATGAACTTGTCTTATGAATTGTTTGTGTAGGCAGTTAGGAAATTACATATTACATCATAAGAAAAAAAACAATACTGTTTGCAGCTAATAACTATTATGCCCATTAATGGACAGTAATTCCTTTTTATCAAAACATTTCCCAACTGTTTGATATTGTCATTATTAATGTGAAGAGGAATCTGGCAAAAGAACTCAACATCCTATCTCATAAGCACCATACATTACCTATTAATCATAATTGTGTAATCATCATTTGTAAAAAACTAGTTTGTACAGTTTATATCCTGTATGCATAGACAAGTTATTAACTCACAGAGTAGTTATCCATGAGAATGTCCAACAGATTATAAAACAAATTATAATTATAAAACAAATGAAGAATAGCAGTCTTGTAAAGCCATCTAAAGCCCATTCCGACATACAGCATCAATTGTTTATAGTCACAGTAGTCAGGCGTTCTATCTGGGATCTTTTAAATCAGGAGTTTGTACTGCTTTACAAAAGTGGTAAAACAAATAACGAGGGTGAGTAGGTTCGCAAATCTCTAAGCAGAATACTGTAGGAAAAGCTGTCTGTGAATGGTATTTTTGTTATGAATAATTGAGAAAGAAAAGTATATGAATATAGTTTTTTTCACGGAAAGACAACAAATAAAAAAAATTAGTAGATTCTTACATATTATAATAGAGGAGTTTTGTATTTCCCAATGAATGAAAAAACAAAACGAGATTGTTTTTACTGACGTTTCGTTAAACCGTTAAAAGTGAACTTGGCTTGGACATATATGATTCTTACATATGTTGTCTTATGAATTCCTTAATAAGCAATGTTAACTGACATAGCATAGATCAGTTTGAAAAAGAGCTGGTGGTGGTCAAATCAAATCATGGCCTCATCACTCAATGAAATCCACAACAGTTAGTTTAAGCCAGCCACGTAGGAAGGTGCAGACTTCTGGGCTGTTTAGGGTCCTCGGGATGCTAAGAACTAGTGACTGAAGGAAATCTTTGATATGGCTCAAAATCATTCTCAAATACATTTATTCTTTATGACTGGTAATATCCAATGAAATTATGTTGTTCTTCCAGATTACTATTCTTTTTCCCACATACCTCTGTTTATTATTTCCCCTTTGAATCTCTCTATACTGTCTTCTCTTGCTTTGTGTTCTACATGGAAGGAGTGTGGCAACTCGAACTACTGATGCACATCTGTGAGAAGTTCCACAATGAAACCAGTCAATCAGTCAGTCAATCATTATAAATTCACATAGAGCAGTAGAGCTAAATTAAGGCGCATCACTTTCCATTGTTTTAGAATGACGAGTTAACATGGCAAATGGTTGATTAGAGGCTAAACGGGAACTTCAACCGCCAAAGAATTTACTCACCCTGGTGGTTTACCAACCTGTCAGTCGAGTATGGAATCTGTTAAAATCCAAACGCTTCCATAATGCAGATTTATCTGCAGCACAAATTCTGATTCCATTCTAGACAATCCGGCTATACATAAAGACGGGTGTGTTAATCTAACACTGTCTCTAGTCTCCTCATCAACAAAAGCTGGAATTTTCCTCTCACAGATCTAACTAATCAGTGTCTTAAATTATTGTCGAAATAATTATCCTGTAGTGATAAGTTATTTAGGAAATCGCAACGTTTCACAATGTTCCTAAATACACGATTTACGTAACTATATAAGAATTATAAAAAGTTTTGATTAAATTATGAATAAACATGCAAAATGTGTTTTTAAATTTATGGATGTAGTCTAACGGGTGAGAATATTTTATACACTCATTATGTCACGTATATTTATTTCATCTAGAATTGCTAATGCTTCATTGTTGGGACAAATAGATTTCACATTCACAAAAAGCTGTTTAGATATATTGTTGAAAAATAGGTTTTTGCCTGTATTTTGAGATTTCTTCATCTGCATGAAAAACAACGAGTGGAATAGTAGATCTGTTATGTGGCTTTATTAACGCTAGTAGTTTTTTTCGTAACACTTATCTTTCCAACAAAGTTTAATAATTATCAGTGGAAGAAGAAGAAGTGAACAGAGTATTGAAGTTATGTTTTACAGTTATATGGGCAAAGTACCTGTCGATTTTTCGAACAGTGTGTCGGTGGTTACGTGGTAGAAGGCTCATAAACCACGCAAATGGTCAGGTTCCATACCTGCCAGACGCACTCTTCACCCCGACCTGCAAGGTAGTAAGCTCAGGAAAGAAGGAAGATTGTGTGTGTGAGGCTAGCAACCTCACTTCGTGAAAAAGTAACACTGCTGCTCACGAAACTTCAGTGCTCAAGCTTGTAGCCCAATATTTCAGTCGGAACGCAAAGGAGTAGAATAAAAAGATTAATAAAAATAATTTACCGGCATTACACAGCCACATAGTCCCGAACTCAGGACCTTCCAGTTACAGAGTAAGCTTGTGGACCATTTAGCCTCTAGTACTCGACTCATTGGCTCATGAATTCTAACTTCTACCAATTCCTGGTCTACGAGTTTGACTTTTAATCGGAAGTTCTTTGGTTCTAAGCCCACTGAGTGCGCGTCGATTATGAGTCCCAAACTAGGATGAAACAGTTGTCCAGTATTCTTCAGTTTACAATGGTTCCCTAATTGATATCAATCTGTGATCAAATGGGAAACAAATCAAATTCCTACAAATAAACTCATGGAAAAAAAGAAAGTGTTCTTTTAAAAAATACTATTCTGATAAAAACAATAATTTATTTTAAGATGAATACAGTATACAATTTGCCTGATTGTTTAGTGAAGTTGACCCTGATGATTTGGCCTAGCCTAAGAGATTGAAAGCTCAAAAACACATCAAACAATTTTTAATCAAGATTTATGTTGAGATCGTCATGGAGTTCATGAAATATTTTTTTTTCAAAAAGGGGAGAATTGGAAAATATAATTTATCTGAAACGCATGATGAGTTGATGTGGGACAGCTGAAACGCTCTGCTCATACAAACACATTTATACACTAAGATTCACAGGAAATAGAAATTCAAACGAGAGACAGAAATGGCAAGATGTACAGTTTTGATGTTAATATCACAGGTAAAGATAAGGAAGAATCTTGAGCACAAAGTAGTTTTCCTACTTCACGTCCATAGAATCGACAAGCGTGTTTTGTATATGCGCTTGAGAAATGTTTCGAAGTCAATTTTATGACTTCTATCGACCACATTATTTGCAAAACATGCCCTTAAATCGACATTTAAGAGTTACTGTGATCCCACTGGCTTGAATGTTCTACTGCAGCTAGCTCTTACCGACAGAAGCGTGTGGATAACATTTATAAATGCGCATATATTTACATAAACACGTATATTTGTAAATGCACTAGTATATGAAGTAATTTAAATGCTGTTACAGTCTACATGGGAATGGAATTGTAGTTTTCCACGTGGTTATGAATCCAGCTGCGTACGATATTCGACGA